GTGTGCTCAGTGGTGTGAAGTGTCAGCTTGTGCACTGAAGGGCTGTGGGTTCGATCCCTGGGTCAAGGACATGTATCTGGGCTGCAGGTTCAATCCCCAGCCCCAGTTGGGGCATGTGTGGGAGGCAACTAATCTATGTGTCTCTCTTGCATATCTCTCTCTCTCTCTCTCTCTCTCTCTCTCTCTCTCTCCCTCTCTCTCTCTCTCTCACTCCCACCCTCCTTCCCTTCTCCCTTCCACTCTCTCTAAAAATCAATGGAAAAAACATTCTCAGGTGAGGATTAACAACAAAAATAATAATAATTTTATTAGAGATGAAGATATACTTTAGGGACTTGAGGGCATGAAATACCAAAAGCCTTAATTCATACAAAAGAAGAAGTAAGCTACAGTATTTAAAGAGGGCAAAAGAAACTCATGACAGTTAACCAACTATTAAAATTATATGGGTAACATCCTATCCAGAAAACAATGAAAATGAAGATTCACCAAACAAGCTCTATATTGGTTACCTATGTACTTGTCACCACTTTAAAAAATCTACAGCCAGTCAATGTGGATGAGAACTGACCACTGATTGTCGAAGTTATAAAGACACACACACACACACACACACACACACACACACGATGTAGACTTGAATCTGCCAATTCCCAGACATATGATCTTTAGGAAGTTACTCTGTCTCTTTAGGCCTCAGTTTCTTCTTATGTAAATGGAGATAATAATGTCTATCCCACACCAGTGTTATGAATAAAACATTAAGATATGGAATGCTTAGTACAATGCCTAACACATAATAGCCTATCAATTCATATAATTATCATCCTGCCTTATCTTTAATTACTATCTCTCATCAAAGAGATATCTCGGTTATGTGTTACCTAATTAAGTCTAAACTAATGACTCCTAGTTAAGGAGTGTATCTATAGCCAAAGTATCTCTTCTAAGCTCCACAGCATGAATTCCAAAAGACTATCACCTAATACTTTCTGTGGTAGGCAGAATAATGCCCCCCACCCACCAAAAGCTGTCTATGTTCTAAACCCCAGATCTCATAAACATGTTAGGTTAAATGGCAAAGGGCAATTCAGGTTACAGATTTTTTTATTCAGGTTACTTTTTTTTTTTAATTTCCCCTCCCCTGTGCATTTAATATATGTTCATGGTCATCTGTAAGATATTTCTTTTCCTTATTTTGGTTGCAAAGACCCTTCTGAACACATTCCTGTATAAAGTATTTTGCACTATTTAAAGAAACCCATATGGATGAAGTCAGGCTGTGCAATATAATGGAGAGTCACAATGTTCATCATTGTACTTGTAATGTAACTAATAACCTTAACAACGTGTGGGAGGCAACTAATCTATGTGTCTCTCTTGCATCAATCTCTCTCTCTCTCTCTCTTTCTCTCACTCCCACCCTCCTTCCCTTCTCCCTTCCACTCTCTCTAAAAATCAATGGAAAAGGGTTGTTAATCTGAGGACTTTAAGATAGGGAAGATTATCCTAGACCAGTGATGGCGAACCTATGACACGCATATCAGAGGTGACACGCGAACTCAGTTTTTTGGTTGATTTTTCTTTGTTAAATGGCATTTAAATATATAAAATAAATATCAAAAATATAAGTCTTTGTTTTACTATGGTTGCAAATATAAAAAAATTTATATATGTGACATAGCACCAGAGTTAAGTTAGGGTTTTTCAAAATGCTGACACGCCGAGCTCAAAAGGTTCGCCATCACTGTCCTAGATTATCCAGATGGGCCCAAAGTAACTACAAGTTTCTTTTAAAATAGAAGAGAGAGTCAGAGTGTTGAGAATACAGCTAAACTGTTCCATAATATTGCTGCCTCTGCTTCCATTTTGTGTGGCTGAGCAGCCTACAGGGGCCTTGAACTGACTAGCTTCTCTGTCAAGTGCCTGGCCTACGTAGCAGCCCAAGCATTAGATAAGAGAACCACAAGTAACCACACGTGCATATGACTTTCCAATGCACCTGGTGATAAACAGTCTCTCCTGCTTCCCAACTATTTCCTTTGTGCACCCCTTTGAATAATATCCTAATGGAGCTTAACAAAACTTGGATCCTTTTGGTTTGAATTGACCAATCTGGCTTTAGTCTGGGAACCCCAAAAGCATTCCTCTTGTAGATCCTAATAAAGACATGTACCCCAGGTCCTGCTCCTCACTCACTGCCTGCAACTTGATCTCCCCAGTCGTAAGGTGTACCGCCTCTAGGACCTGTGAGTAATAAACTTTCCTATTTCACTTTCCCTTGGGATCTTTGCTGAACCCTGGCTCAACACCCCAGGGTTCTACTTAACAAAAACCACAAGATAGAGGAGAGAAAACTAGAGAGATTGCAGTCTGAGAATGTCCCAGTCAGACATTGCTGGTTTTGAAGACGGAGGAATGGGGCCATGAGCCAAGAAATATAAGCAGGCTCTCGAAGCTGGAAAAGGCAAGGCAACCGAGCGTCTCCTAGAGCCTCCAGAAAGGATGCGGCCTTGCTGACACTTTGATTTTGGCCGAGTGAGGCCCATTTAATTTCCAACCCCCAGAACTGTAAGATAATAAATTTGTGTTGTTTTAAGCCACTAAGTTTGTTGTAACTTGTTACAACTGTGATAGCAAACTATTATATTTACCATGCTCAGCTTCTGTAAGTTAACTGCCAACATCTCCAGCAAATCTTTGTTTTCTTTTTTTTTTTTTAGGGGATAGCACCACCATATACATAGTTATCCAAGTGGGAGACATCCTTGACCTCTACCGCTCCCCTACAAGTAATTCATCACCAATTCCTTTCAGTTCCTTCTACCTCTAAAATAACTCCCCCATTCCATTGCATCTCTCTGCAACTCTTTCTAGGCTACAACTTTGAACTGTTAGAAGGACTATGTACAAGTGGTGTTCTGTACTCTACGTCTATTCTCCACACTTTCAGATATATCATATAATGTATGTGTGTATGTATATGTATCACACACACACACACACACACACACACACACTCACATTAAATTGCAATCCCCAGGAAGAACTACATTTCACATCAAGATCTAGGACACACACACATACTCAGACCAAAAGTTTCACAAAAACGTAATTTCCATACTCTTTTGTAATGTGTGCTATTTCCTATTCTATGTAATTTAATCCTAAAACATCCCAACTACTTGTGACTCACTATAAACTTTTCATAACTGACCAATGGATCATGACCTGTAGCTCAAGAAAACATTTTTCTACCTGGCTATAGAATGTTCTTTCTAAAATACAATCATTATTTTTCTTTAAATTCTTCAATGGCTTCCCACTACTCTAAGGATAAAGGCTTATATAATCCTCTATTATCCAGCTCTTTTATCACTGTAGCTTCATCTATTTCTACTCTAACAGGTTAATTTTCATTTTGCAATCCAACCTTACCTACTTACTTTCTGGATACAGAATGTATCTAGTGTTAGAACACTTCCCCACATAGTCTTGTAGCGAATGCCTGCTCATTCTAACTTCTCAGCTTAGACTTCACTCCCCTCTGGATGCTTTCCCTGGATGCTGGGCCTTGGTTAGGTACCCCTCCTGTGTGCACACTGGACTTCCTCAATGCAATGTTTATCACCCTGCATTTCAACTATGACAGTGCTATTTAAGAGTACTATTTAAGTACTATTCATGCGTTTTGTTCCCCATAGTATACCTAACAGGCCTTCAGTAAATATTTATTAATAAATGAAGCAATTTAGTGGGTTTCTCATGTTATTGGATATTTGGTTGTTTTTTTTTTAATTTTTATTTTAATCCTCACCTGAGGACTGATCTTAGAGAGAGAGGGAGGAATTGGGGAAGTGGGGGGGAGGGGAGGAGAAACACCAATGTGAGAGGGAAACACTGATTGGCTACCTCCTGTATGCACCCCAGCTGGGGATTAAACTGCAACCTAGGTATGTGACCTAACCTGGAATGGAACCCACATTTAAAACAATTTTTTTTTTGTATATAGGATGATGTTCCAACTAATTGAGCATTGGTATTTAGTTCTTTCACACCACTGTAACATGTTATAAAATTTTAAAGAAGGCACAAGTCTGGAACATTAAACAGTTTCTAGACTTTAGCTTATGTGAAGGTTTCTAGAATTTAGTGATGTGTGAAGTAGCATGGAACGCTGTGTTCAAGGTTCTCTAGATCTCTCATACTGAGACAAAAACTAGCATCTCCAAGTCTTAATTTCCTCATCTGAATTCCAATACCGTTAACATTTACTCTTGGATATCTCCAAGCATCCCCAATTCAATTCATATCACTTACAGGGATAATAACAGCATGCTCTTAGAACTATCGTGAGAAGACAGTGAGTTAAATAATAAAATAATACTTGGCAGATTATTTTTTATCTATTATTACTACATACCTATGTCAGGTTTTGCCAATACCCTCAGTTACATTGGTTAAGGAGAGCAAGAAGAATGAAGAATAGGAAGAGTGGGATATGAGTATCCTGTATGAGCAAACCTTGTGATATTTTGACTGTTCAGATAGTTGTTTTCTCAGAACTTTCACGTTCCTTTAAAAGAAAACTAAAATCTCATTAATGTAACTAATTTGCAATATCAGTTGTAGAGTATTTTATGAACTTCTTGTGGGGGAAGAGGACCTCTATATTCAGGTAAGCATCTCAGATTGACATATGGTGGTTTTGCTATAGTGGGGAGGAATAACAAGCCCCCACCACAAATAAAAAGAAGAGCCATTTGTGAGGTCTGTGTCAGCCAGCCCTCCAGTGCTATCTGACTTCTTATGTAACTAGAGGATTATACATATCTGTCTTCATTTATCTGAGTCACTCCTATAAAATGGTGCAGAAGTTCTTCCTTTAAACGTTAGCAGGCTACAAAATGCCCAAAGAATAAACTATGCTGCAAACATTTTGGATATAACATCTGATATAAGAATAAAAATTCAAAATACACATCCACAAATCAGACTGGCACACTGAAAACAAATTATTTAGGAATATATTTCTTATTTTTACCTTAGTTACCTTACAACCTACTTCGAAGATGGCAGCAATTTATCGAGGAATACAGAATCAGCAAAATAATTTAGATTAATACATCAAAGGTGTAATATAGTTGTGTAAATGTTTCATAAAAGAATATAAACATTTCATTAATTTTCACTACATTCATCCACTTTGTGTATACATCCTATTATTTTCCAGGTACTTGTGCAGTTGCTAGGAATACAATGGTGAAAAAGACAAAGTCGTACTTCAAGAGGTTACATTTCCTGACTGGAAGGGAGAAGATAAAAAGGGCAAGTAATTAAATAAGAATGTCAGGTACTGATATATGTTATAAAGAACATAAAAAAATGATATAAAAATACCTAAAGAGGTGGTCATGGAGGGACTAAGAGTATGATTCTGGAGCTATAATGTCCATGTACAAATCCAGGCTCTACCATTCAATAGGTATATGATGCCGGGGCAAGCTACCCATCCTCTCTGTGCCTCAGTTTTCTCATCTGCTGAATGGGAATAACAATAGTACTTACCTCATGGATTTGTTGCATTAAGTAGTGTGTGTAGAACAGTACCTGGCACATAGTGCGATGTGTTTTCAAATATAAATTGTTTTCCTCTCTGAGTAACTCACATTGAATCAAGACCTTAATATTAGGAAGGAGTTCAAACTAATATGGATAAATTAAAGTACCTCTATACCAAATAAAGAAGAATAAAATGCCGTTTTCTTCTTTATATTTCCATGCTATATAGTAATGAAAATATATGAAGATTAAACCATAGTAGCACCTTTCATCACCCATCTTCACATTCATCAGAGCTTTCTTCACTCGGCTCCTCACTGCTTTCTCCTTCACTCTCCCCACTACTGTCTTCTTCACTATCTTCCTCATCTTCCTCACGATTTTGAGCTTTCTCTGCCACAGAAAGGAAGAGAATCACTTAATATGTTTCTTAACATTTTCACTCTTTTGAAAAATTGAAATTCTTCTTGCTTCTCCCTCCACTAAGAAATGTATATTTTGGGGACATGAGAACTGAGCTGAACTTTGTTAACTGTATAAAGGGTTAAAGTAGTAGTACAAATAAGACTATATTCTTACTGGCATAAAGATGTCTGTGGACTGAAAGTAAATTTCCAACCAGATCTATAAAATATTTTTTTTTATTATGAATGTAATTCTTAAACAGAATAGGGTAATTCAGAGGGCACTGGCTTTCCTTGGAATTGTGGGACAGTCCCTTTAATACAAGGGGCAATTGGCATGTTCTATTCCCTCTGAAGACTGTCGTGCAAATGCCTGTGCCCAGGAAGCCCACTTTGTTTGGGTAGTTCCACCCCACAGATTAAAGGAAGTCATCTTGACCATCTACAAAGGACAAGCTGGTTTCAATAACCATCCAAGATGACCATTAGCCTTTTCTTAACCATATCCTGAGGATGTACTTTGGCAATCTCCTGGGATAATGAGTTTTTAAATAAATAGTGACTGCTCATAGTTCTATGAGAAAGAATGAATTTCAATTTTTAAATTTACCCATCAGCAACATTTCTTCAATAAGTACTAAGAACTCCTTGGCCTCAGGATTTTCTGGTTCATAGATTAGGACTGAAAATAGACAACAGAGTGTGTGTTACTAATGGTCAAAATGTTTCAGCAAACAGGCTCCTCAGAATGAGATTGAAACTGTCAATCAGAGTAAGGAAAAATGCACAAAAGCGATAAACACCAACAATTATACCATGGATGTATTTAAGTGCAAACAGAGAGTGATATAAAATAGTTTTAACAGCAGAAGAGAGGATAAGTTAACTAAAGTACAATAGGAAATATCCAAACTGAAGCAGAGAAATAAAAAGAAATCGGAGGGAAAAAGTAAAACAAACACAAAGCTGAGTATAAGATACATGTGGGACACTATGAAAACAAACTCTAATTTATGTATAATTGAAGATCTAGGAAGAAAAGAAAGAGAATAGAGTAGAAGTGATATTTTAAAAGATAATGGCTAAGAAAGGTAATGAAAACATCAACCCACAGAATTAAGAAACTCAGGAAACCTCTCAAGCCTCCCGTTGTATAAAGGCAAAGAAAAACCACAACTGTCCAGTCAAACCACTAAAAACCAAAGATATAAAGAAAAAAAAAGCTGGGTAATATTCTTCTACTCAAAAATGTCCAACGGTTTCCCACTCAGAGAAAAAGTGAAGACCCTAAGCTATGAAAAGGTGCTATGTAATCTGCACAACCTTAACCCATGACCTCTGTGACTTCATCTCCTATCACACTTCCCTTGCTTATTTTCTCGTTATATGGTCCTGGTTGTTGTCAGGCACACTTGCCTCTCAGCACATTTGCTATTAGTCCCGCCTGGAACTCACTGTTTCCAGATACCCACATGACTAGTTCCTCAACTTCAAGTCTTTCCATGCGGTCTCCCGGGACCATCCTATTTGAAACTGCTTTGCCTCCCCCCAGGACTTTCTATTCCTTCGTCCCTACTTTATTTTCCTAGATAGAACCTATTATTTATGACACACTCTTTATATGAGTTTTATCATCTGCCTGATACTAGATATAAATGTGGGATCATTATCTGTTTTGTTGACTGCTATGTTTCCAGTGCCTGACATATGTAGGCACTCAAATATTGGTGGAATAATTGCATGTTAAATAAGGTTTGCTGCACTACCTGACAGCAATTACCCATTATCATAAAGGTAAGGATTTTGATTTACCTTCATGGTATTAGTGGTAATTAATTAGTCTTTTTTACTTGATCTCATACCAATCAACCTAATTTATTGTCAAGGAATCACTGAGACACCATCAGGGAAATTCACTGGACTTAGGATAATCAAACCATCTTATATATTATGGAATGTATTTAGAAACAAAGAGAAGATTAGAAAACAGAAAGTATTTTGTACTTACTCATTTGACATAATTTTTTAGCCAAATGGTAGTCTTGGCTCATTTCTGCTCTTAGGAACTGGAAAACATTAAGAAATTCTCCAGATAAGTAATTTCAGAGAGAATTTAAGTGTCAATTGTATACTCCCTAGAAAATATTCTATTAATGATTAACTATTTTGCTTTTAACATTTACACATGTTTTTCCAGGAGTGAGTCTGTAATCAGTTAATCAATTAAGAATATTTAAGGACTTCTCATGGCAGGGCAACATATATAGAATGACACCTCTACTTTTCTGCAGCCACACTATACATATACTACTGAACAATTTGAGGATACATAGACTGATTAAACCAGAGAAGATAGTGAAGACATTAATCACTTTAATATTCTTTTTGTTCAGATACAGCTTTTACTTGTGAACTTAGTCCATAATTACATGATCATACTCAGTAAAAAAATGAAGATTTATAATTATGTATATTCATTACTTTTTAGTATTGCACTCATACCATTTTGTTTTTACTATTTTTAAAATATTTTTCTTGTTACAAAGTAATACATTTTTATATGTAGAACATTTTAAAGCTAAATATACTCATTCTGTCCCCACTTAAAAAGCTTCTATATTTCTACCATCCAGAGATGTTTATTTTTACATCTTTATATTGTTTCCATAAATGACCACATATTTACAAAAACTAGAATTGTTCAGTAACTTTTTAAAAATACATCATGTTTATGTTCACATATCATGATCATTTTCTCCCAGGGAATTAAACATCCTTATATGTTTTTTACTTACTTAGGCTGTAATTTACCAAACTAATATTTTATTATTAGTTATTTAAACTGCTTCCATTAAAAATAGCCTACACTTAGATAATTGTTCTTGCTTGTGTGTGACATCCTGAACCATATGTAGATACACTAGGTTTACTCTCCAAGAGACATGAGCATCGAGTCATACAAAAAACAACTAAACAACAACAAAAACACTTCTCTCACATTTCCATATATTTGTTAATACCCAGGTGCCATTGTAAGAGGCAGTTCTTTACCAGTTTTCTAAGTTTCTTCCATGGGTATTAGATTTTATTTTCCTAATATAAACAGAATTCTTCTTTCTATAAAAAATTTTCATCAGAATCCTTATTTATTCAGATCAATAATTGTCTTACATTTTTAAAAATTGATTCTTGTAAAAGGTTAAGACGTTCATTTTCATTCCTATTTGTAGTTTTCTTCCATTTTAATTATAATATCTAGTGTTTGATCTATGTCATTTTCTTCCAATATCTTGCTCTTAAATTGATATAATAATTTGGTTTGTACTTTGAATTATTAATTTGTTCCTTTAATTCTTTTCTTTGTACTTTTCCTTATGTTTATTTTATTCTTTTTCTAGTTTTTGGTGTTAATATTTAGTTCATTTACTGTCACACTTGAGTCATCATTATCATCAAAACATTTGAATTTCAAGCATTTTTCAAATGTTTTAATATTTAGTGTTATGGTTATAACTATTTTTAAATGTTATAAGTTTAAATGTTTAATTCATGTGTCACTTCTTTAGAAGAATATCTTTTAGTTTCAAGTAATTGTTATTGCACTTATTTTTATTATGTTTATATTTTTTAAATCCTTATGGAAAATTTAAATATACACAGAAGTAGAGGAAATTGTAAAAGAAGTATATGCTCCCAATTCTTACCTTTAAAAATTAACATTTTACCAATCTGGCTTTATCAATATCACTGCATAATCTTTTGCCCCCTCTGCCTAGACTATTTAAAAGTAGTTTATAGATAACACCTCATTTCACTTTGATTAAAAAGCCAATCACATTATTGCTATCACACCAAACAAAATTAACAAGAATTTCTTAATATCAACTAATATCCAGTTTAGTTTTTTAAACATCAGTATCTGCATTTATTTATTTTTAAAATATATTTTTATTGATTTCAGAGAGGAAGGGAGAGGGAGAGATGGAAATATCAATAATGAGTGAGAATCATTGATCAGCTACCTCCTGCACACCCACACTGGGGTTTGAGAAACCTGGGCATGTGCTCTGACCAGGAAGAGAATCGTGACTTCCTGGTTCTTAGGTTGATGCTCAACCACTGAGCCATGCTGGCCGGACTTCAGTCTATTTAATGACGTGTTATATTAATAATATTAGCTTCCAGAAATAAAAGGTGCATGGGATCCATTTCAAAGGCTCCTTTACATTGATCTATTTTTTATTTGCATTGATATATTTTATGTTTTGAATAGAAACATATTTTCTTTAATAATTCAAAAAGCCAGTGAAATTAAGAAACTCATGCAATGGATATTTGGATAAAGACTTTCATGAAAGTTATTTAAGATTTCAAACTTAAGCTGAAGACAGGTTTTAAAAAACTGGTTGTATATTAAATTATTTGTGACATTCAAAATAAAGAAATGCTTAAAAAGTAAACTAAAAACATGAATTTTGATGTAATCCTGATTGGAGAAAAAAATCCAGTTATAAAAGTCATTTTAAAGACAAATTGGGAAGTTTCAATTTGAATATAATATACTTTGTTACAGCATTATTGATAACTTTCTTAGATGTGATAAGGGTATGATGTTAATTTGAAGAATGAATTATTCTTAAGAGACCCATGCTCAAGTTTTAGGGGTGATGTTTTATATTGTCTGCAACTTTCAAATGTTTTTGCTAAAAATATATATTTAAGCTTATATATTTATACCTTATCTATCAAAAGACAGAGAAAACTTAATAGAAACTGATGTAGAATTGACAAAAACGATAGCATAGTAGACAAACATGTTAAAGTAGCTCTTATAAATATATGCCAAATGCTCAAAAGTAGAGGAAAATATGAACATACGGAGAGAAATGATACAAAATAGTTAAATGAAACTTCTGGAGATGATAAATAGAATGTTTAAAATGAATGTATGTTATATTCTCATATATTAGAGAGAGAGAGAAAGGGAGGGAGGGAAGAAGGATGGGATTAACAGCAGATTATAATTGCAAAGATCATGAATTTGAAGACAGCAATAAAAATTTCTTAAATGAAATAGAGAACAGAGGAAAAAAAGGAGCATCAGTGACCCTTGGGACAATATTTCGTGGTCTAACATAGGTGTAATTATAGTCCAGATGAAGAGAGCAGGGGTCAGAAAAAAATATTTGAAGATTTAATTGAATATTTTCCAATCCTGGTGAAAACTATAAACGGATAGATCCAAGAATCTCAATGAACAGAAGAATCAAGGCACCATCATAATCAAATTGCCAATAATAATAATACAGATGAAAAAAATTAAAAACAGACAAAATGACATATTATAATGTAGATTACTAATGATAACGATAATAACAGACATCTTTCTGAAACTATGCATCTTTCAGAAAGCAGTACAGTGGGGCCTTGACTTACGAGTGTCCTGACTAACGAGTTTTTCGAGATACAAGCCGTCTCTCGGCCGATTTTTTGCTTTGAGTTGTGAGCTAAAATTCAGGTATGAGCCAGCTTCAGATACCCCACCGCTAGTTGGCGCAGCGAACGTCACAGTGAACGCCACAACATCAGCCCAGCATCACGTGTCTCACTCGTTCACTTTAAGATCTGACATACGAGTAATTTGAGTTACGAGCTCCGTCACGGAGCAAATTAAACTCGTAAGTCAAGGCCCCACTGTATTAGACAGTGGAATAACCTTTCAAATTATAGGAAATAACCTGGCAACCTAGAATTCTCCAACTAACCTATCTTTTTAAAAAGGTGAAATTAAGACTGTTTCAGACAAACAAAAGCTGAAAGAATTCACTGTCAGCAGAACTGTCCTATAAAATATACTGAAGGAAGATTTTTAAAAAAATTCTTTATTATTGAAAGTATTATATATGTCCTCCTTTTCCTCCATTGATCCCTTCTAGCCCACATCTTTCCCCTGCCCCAGGCCTTCACCATCCTATTGTCTGTGCCAATGGGCTATGCCTATATGCATACAAGTTCTTTGGTTGATCTCTTCCCTCCCACTCAACCATACCCACTGAAAGAGGGTTTTTTTTTGTGTGTTTTCAGGTAAAAGGAAAAAATCAGATGAAGAGTTGGACCCTCACAAAGCTATAAAGAACACCAGAAATGGCCCTGGCTGGTGTTCCTCAGTGGTTAGAGCGACAGACTGTGAACTGAAGGGTTATGGATTCAACTCCTGGTCAAGGGCACCTACCTCAGTTGCAGATTCACTCCCTGTCCCTGGCTGGGGAGCATGTGGGAGGCAACCAGTCGATGTGTCTCTCACGTCTTTCCCTCTCTCTCCCTCCCTCCTCTCCTCCCTTTCTCCCTCCCTCCTTTCCATCTACTCTCTCTGAAAAGCAATGGCAAAAAATATCCCCAAGGTGTGGACTGAAAAAAAAAGAACACCAGAAATGGTTCCAAAAAAGATATATCTTCTGCTCTGCAGGTGTGGTCCATTTGGTTAAGCATCATCCCATGCACAAGGTTGCTGGTTTGATTTCTGGGTCAGGTTACATGGCCAGCCCACTAGGGGGAGTGCAAGAGGCAGCTGATGGATATTTCTCTCATTGATGTTTCTCTCTCTCTCTCTTTGAAATCAATAAAAACATATTTGGGGGAAAAAAAGATATCTTCCAATTTAAGAAATCTCTTTAAAAGATATTTGAGCATTTAGCACAGCCGGTGTGGTTCAGTGGTTGGGTGTCAACCTACGGACCAGGAAAGCATGGCTCAGTTCCCAGTCAGGGCACATGCCTGGGTTTTGGGCTCGATCCCTGGTGGGGAGTGTGCAGGAGGCAGCTGAACAATGATTCTCTCTCATCATTGATGTTTCTATCTCTCTTTCCCTCTACCTTCCTCTCGGAAATCAATAAAAATATTTTTAGAAAAAAGATAATTGACCATTTTTAAAACGAAAATAATAACAATGCATGTGGAACTTATAACACATACAGAAATAAAATGTTTGACAACAATAATAGCAAGGATGAGAAGGGGACATGAAAATATACTATTATAAAGTTTGTACAATATACATGAAGTTGTGTAATATTAAGTAATGGTAGACTGTGACACCACAATAAATAAAATTGTTTTCTTCTCTACGGAATTATCAGTAAATGTACATTTTTTTCCTGTGATATTTCAGGCTTCAATGCCTTTGCATATGCTGTTTGCGGTGTCAGGAATGCCTTCTCCTCTTGTTTACCCTTCTCTTCCTCCTTCCTTTAAGTTGTTAAGATGTATTCAGGTCTCTTCCTTTTATCCCATTTCTCCTGTTTCTTAATTACTCACTTAATCCTCTGTTCCCAGAGAATTTCATAAACACTTCTACTAGCACATATTTCATTATAAATTATTTTATTTATTTTTTTTAATATATTTTATTGATTTTTTACAGAGAGGAAGGGAGAGAGATAGAGAGCTAGAAACATCGATGAGAGAGAAACACCGATCAGCCGCCTCCCGCACATCTCCCACTGGGGATATGCCCGCAACCCAGGCACATGCCCCTGACCGGAACCGAACCCGGGACCCTTCAGTCCACAGGCCGACGCTCTATCCACTGAGCCAAACCGGTTTCGGCTATAAATTATATTATATAAATAATATGTGCATGTTAGTTCTCAAAGGTGAGACCTGTCTTTATTTCTACACATTCCCAGTAACTAGCATGGTGCCCATGCTTTATGTACAAAGCATTCCTCTAAACAGTGCTAGAAGAGTTTTATACCAAATCTACTCTTATTCCTGCTCCTTTTACCAGAATACTGTCAGTCAATTCTAGAATCTTCTCTCACCGCTCCTTTGGTGAAGGTTGTAAGAGAGATGAGTAGCCAGGTAAGCATCTGTACATGGCAAGGATCTTTTTACTATTTTTTAAATCCTCAAGGCTATATAATATTTAGTTATTTTAATATTTTTAAGATTCTTAAATTATAATGCACAAAGCTTACTTCTGCCATTAACTCTAATGGGGCACGAGTGTCCTTTTTTGGGCCACTGTCTTCATTACTTTTGTCACTGGTGTCATCTTCACCATCATCTTTTGTTGACTCAGACAATTTATCATCAATAACCTGAAGGCAATTTTCATTATTTTTCTCCTGCTTTGCAATGACTTCATTTTTGCCCACCTCACCTAAAACAACATACATAATTAATCAATAAATATTAAAAAGTTCAAAAATTTTAAATGCTTACTCCTAAATGACAATGTAACAAGCGTACATGTTGCCTATATGGCTTTCTGTTCTGGAGTTTTGTGTGTTTTATTTTTTCTTGACTAAACAGCACTGGTTTCCATTTTCAAAACAGGTAATAAAACTGCCAAATGAAAGAGGAAAAAACCCAAATCTATAACAATGAGTTGATGCTAATGTTAACTGTTTGGTGCTTGAAATTTTAATAAGTAGAAAATATTTTTTGTTTATAAAGAATATAATTTCAAGAAAAAAGAAATTAATGCTATTCTACCTCCAGAAACATATTTCTTAAATTATTCTTATAGAAGGTAAATACAAAATAAAGAGCTTGAGAGTAAAAGTAAGGCTGGAGAGGCTGAGAAGCAAATAGTCCTTCTTAGGTCATGTCACTCCTTGGTTACTTGAGAATAAAGTTCTCTCTCTCTCTCTCTCTCAACACACACACACACACACACACACACACGGAAGAAACACGCGTGGAATATTCTAGATATAACCAGAGGTTACATAACATTATTAATGATTTTCCTTAATGTTAGTCAAACATAGATAACCCTACAATTAAAACTAAGCACCACTGAGTGACTACCCATTTAGTGCCTGGCACTATGCTGAGTCCCAGTTTCACAAAAATGAATGGTCCCTGATCTGAGAGTACTTGCAAAAACTCTAACTGGGGAGTCAGAAACATATGGAGAATTATAAAAGAGTATGGGAGAACAGTGATGAAGATGTGTGCTAGGGAATGGGAGAACAAAGGGGTGCCACACCCCAGTCTGGGAGTGGTCAGGAGCTGTCCAATCTGAGTGGATCAGTTTTTCCCGGGAGAGGGGACAACATAAGCCAATACAGAAGCAAGAATGTGTGTGGACTATAATCACTCTGGTGCTGCTTAAGGGTCAAGATTAAGGCTGAAATGGTGACAGATGTCCCTGGAAGTATAGGTAGGGGCTAGATGGATAATGGAGAGTCTTGTAGACCAGAAGCCTTGGGGACTATCTTAAGAATGAAGGGGCTACTAATGAAAGATTTTATGTAAGGAAACAAGTATGATCAATTTTGCACTTCTGAGGGAAAACTTGGAGAGCACGGTAAAAAGTGTATTTGAGGGAAGACAAAAATAAAGAGTAAGGGGAGAAATTAGAGTTGTCTTTTAAAAAATCAAGATAAGAGACATGACAGGGAACTGGTAAAGTAGGGATGGAGCGTAAGTGATAGATAAGAGAAATATTTAAGAGGTAAAATCTCTATGGTACAAACTATTGAAACACTTTCCAAACTTCAGTAATTCTTATACTATCTTCATCCATTTAATATTCTCCTTTGAATGTACTTTTTAAACATATACTTTGTTAGATCATAAATATCATCCATGAAACTGATGGATTAATAAAAGTAACATATAATAATCCTAACACATTATATCCAATTACTCTTCTAAACACTACATACATTAACTCATTTTCTCTCAACCCAAAGAGGTTTTACGTTTCATAGATGAAACTGAGGGACAGAGAGGTTAGATAACCTGCCCAGCTTCACACTGCTAATTAAATGGTAGATCTGGGAGTCAATTAGACTCCAGAGTACATATTATTATTATTTTTAAAAATATATTTTTATTGATTTCAGAGAGGAAGGGAGAGGGAAAGATAGAAACATCAATGAGAGAGAATCATTGATTGGCTGCCTCCTGCACACCCCCTACTGGGGATTGAGCCTGGAACCTGGCATGTGCCCTTGACCAGAATCAAACCCAGGACTCTTCAGTCTGTAGGCTCTATCCACTGAGCCAAACTGGCTAGGGCCATATTATTAACCACATCTTATATTGTTATTTTTCCCAACACACATGAAAATATACTACTATTAAAGTCATTTTTTAAAAAAGTTTACTATGTGTTTCCTAAACGTATCTCTTTGGGAAACACTATTGAGTGAGCTTATAGGACTCCTTTGGCTCTATGCATATCTCTCTGTTTCACACTAACTTGGGCTACATCATTCCTTTCTTGTCAGATTTTGAATATCTGGGAAGTCTTGTGAGATGACTTTTGGAGCTACTCTAAATAACATAGAAACACTTGTATAGAAAGGAGAAAATGAGGAAATCTAGGAGAGCTTAAGAGAAAACAATGTTAGAGAACACAAACTAAAAAAGTCTTTCCAAGAGTAGGGTGGCTTGGCTACCTGATTCTGTGTCCTTTATGGTGTCCATCAGCTCACAGCCACTCTGATCTCCCAGTGTGTATCCAGCCTGTTCATTGACTCATCACACTGATGTCATCAGGGAAAGATCAGAATAGGGAATTCAAGGCTGTGTGATGTCACAGGAACTGTCTCACCTCAGTTAATTCACAAACACACACTGAGCTTCATGAGAAAGGTTTCCTGATCCCTAGATCTAAGGTAGTCCTCTCCCAGGGGCCATTTATTAACATTGTAACATCCATCACAACCTGACATTGTGTTGCTTTTTTGTTTGTATTTGTTTTATATTGTTTATTGATTTTTAATAGTTGGCTATCTCCCACTAGAATGTAAACTTCATAAGGGCAAGGACCTTGCCTATTTACTAACTATTGTATCCACAGCTTCTAAAGCAGTGACCAGCACTCAATAAACCATCGTTGAATGAATGGAACTTGTTTGCTTTCATTAGGTATTTTAATTCATTCTAAAATTTAATACTCTATTACTATCATTTCATATAATATTTTTCCATGGATCCTACACCTGACTGCATATCAGAATTATATGTTACATCAATTTGAAAAAGTACCAATTCCCATGATCCTCCCCAGACCTATAGAGTTGTCAACATCCCAAAGGTCATGGTGAAAGAAGGCTAATTAGAAGCAACAGTTGATCTAAAAAAAAAACCACCAAAACCAATTGTTATTACCTGTGCTTTCTTTTAAGAAGGAAGTTGACCATAGCTTTGACTGTAGATTTGTTTCTGTATCTTTATGTTCAATACTCTTTGAAGATACTCTATTTTCAGTATTCTTTAAAAAGACCTTATTTTCAATATTTTTTGAAGAGACTTTCTTCCTAAATGTTAAAGTAGACAATCAAAATACTTTCCTAGGTCAAAATTATGTTTAAGGCTTTATTTGGGTACACACACACACACACACACACACACTTATTTAATATGAGCACACAGTATAATATACTAATAATAAACTAAATAGCTAAAATGCAGTATCTTCTTTGTGGGAAAGCATTAAAAATAATTTTTACTGGTGATTAAAATTCTATTTCTGCTTGGCATTTGCCATTGTGTAATGATTCTTAGAATGTTTTCAGTATTCTTTAACACAGAGCATATAAGCAATCAGTACGTGTGTCTTTGGCACATCATATATATATCTGTTATATATATAGAACAAAAAAAAACTATTTAAGGAATACTAGCCTTTTTTAAATGTTGTAAATCCATTCTTACCATTGCTAAATGCTACAGTATGGAGAGAGTGCAACACTAATGTTAATCTTGGTCCTAATATAAAGTAGCCTGCTTTTTCATTAAGTAGCTGAAGTAAAATGGGTTCTCTCTTAGCCTCTAAGCCTGAAACTTCATGTCAGTAAACAATGCACTGAGACAGAGGATTCATGTGTGGTGCACTCTGTTTACAAAGACAGGCACCCAGACCGGTGGAAAAATGACCCCAAGTCTGTTTTCCATAGTTTTAAGATTCTTTTAATGTGTCTCCTTTACCAAGTTTAAAAATTAAACTTTTAGTTTGCATGGAAAGATATAAAAAGATATAAAGTATTACCCCCCCCCCCCAAGTTATGGTGGCTCTCTATTTTATCCCCATTGAAATGTGAATCCAGAACATTAGTACTGTAGTTAAGTTAGCGGTCTTGTGCAGTGATTTAGCAAAGAGGCTAAATAGCTTGTTATATTCTTAATACAATGGGATGGAATGGAATCTTCACTTCCCCAGTACATGCTGCTAAAGGAAGTCCTCTCCCTGGTAACACAAAATACACAGCAGCCCTAGCTGGTCTTGCTCAGTGGATAGAGTATTGGCCTGTGGACTGAAGGTCCTGGGTTTGATTCCAGTCAAGGATACATATCGGGTTGCATGCCCCCAGTGGGGGGCATGCAGGATGCAGCCAGTCAATGATTATCTCTCATCATTGATGTTTCTCTCTATCCATCACCCTTCCTCTCTAAAATCAATAAAAATTAAAAAACAAACAAAAAAATGCACAGCAAAAATTATTTACATTTATCTGCCTCTGCCCTCAATTTTCTATTGCAAAAGAAAACATCTAAGAAGAAACTCTACATGTGAAAAGTTGAGAAGTCACTTAAACATTCAATTTCTAGCATGGTGATCTCATTATTATACCAAAGGTCATTACAAGTGATTACTAGAATTTATTTGCTCTAATAACTAATCTAGGTAAAAGGCCTTAACTGCCTACCTCCCCCCCCTTACAAATTATAGTATTTTGTTGGAACCAAAATACCATATATTTATTAGACTACCATTTTTAAGGGAAAAAAAACGTTGCCAAGTTTAAGATGCCATCAATTATAAAAGATGTTAAACTATGATGAAAATATGTGTACATATTTTAAATATGAAATATGTTACTTATAATTGACCAAGAAAATTTAGCTAGTATAGTTTTGGGTACTTGCTTTTTAAATAGTATTAGTGACACATGGAGAAAGCCAACATATTCAATGTAATAAATGGGATATTACTATTTGGAAGCATTAACATGCCATAAAAATACATATGAGAATTGGTGCCAAATCCTCATTTTAACAATAAAGTATGAATTACCTTTCTGCTCACTTTCTGTAGTCTTTCTCATATGCAGTTTTAAAGACTCAAAGGCCCAAAGGCCAATCTCCTCTTCAACTGTAATCTATTGATTTTCATTTGCTAAAGTGATGTTATCTATGGTAACAATGCCTCTAACCACTAAAAAATGCAGATAACCAGTATACTCTAAAAGATGTGTTATTTAAATACAGTTATAATTAAGGAAAGATTCAAATTTTTACTTTATGTAATATCCTTTGGAAACGGAAGATATTTAATTTAGTATCTGCTAAGGTTAGAGAGTTAGTCCAGTTAGATATCTCACTGGAGGGTATTTATGCTAAAGGATAAATAATCCAGGTTTTAGAATTGCTTTTTAAGAGCACTGGTCATATTTATGGAATGACCCCAAATTTCTATTGGAATTAACAAATTTTTTCAGGAAGTTTATATTTTAAACTTTGTTTTAAAATGATTTATAATTTGTCAAAAATGGGCCTAAAATTAATTAAAACTTACTTTTCTAAGAATGTCTTAGTTATATTTAGAGAAACTTGTGTTGCTGACATATAAGGTTTGCTGGCCAATTCCTGGTCTTGTCCTTAAAGTGTAAAAATGGGAACTAAAAAATAACTTATTCATTTTAGAAAAGATAAAACATGTAATTATGGAATAACAGAGATATAGTGTTTTCAGCTCAGAGCATTGAGTGCAGTGGGTCTGCTTCAGCCATTTCCCCCTCACATCTTTAAGTATGCTCAGAAGCTTGACCAAAAAACCCAACAGATCAAAGGTCCAAGACCTATAAAACTTTGTTCAGCATTAAAGATATATTTTACCTTTACTACTGAAAAGTTTGTTAATTAAGTGCAATTTGTGGAGTGGACAAAATCTCTCACATGGGTCTATGGGGAAAAAAGGAAATGATAAATGTGAGTTTTATGTGCAGAGTTTGATATTCATGGTTTATAAAGTCCTTGCGGCTCCATGAAGAATCAACCAGATTAAGGCAAAGAACTGGTGGGGAAAGAAAAGTTCTTATTTTCCTCTAACCCAAGCTAGATAGGATCTTATGGCAAATTCCACTTGCCAGCCAGACTACCGAGCCAGTAGGGGTTGGAAAGTGGAATCTGAAGCTACGCTGAGAAAATTCATCAACTTTGCAGTTCAGTCACACTAGTTCCCAAACAAAGGTTCCCACACTAGTTCCCACACGATTTTCTATTTTCTTGCTCATTTTTTTTTTTCCAGGACTGATCCTGTTTGCCTTCAACTCTGGGTAAGGAACCTGAAGTGACAACGCCACACAATGGTGAAGCTTAATGGCTACACTAACTATCCACTTCAAACTACCAAACCAAACCTAAACTCTTCTCTGCAAGCAAATTTAAGGAAATGTTCTCATCTTACCCTTTCAAAAAACAGTTTGATGAGCTGATGCAATTATTAATGAGGTCAAGGGAAAAAGTAGGCACTCTACTTTTCTATTTTGGCCCTGGCTGCCTTTGATTTATCCCTGGGGTATAACTATTTCAGGGTGTGGATCACTCCCAATCCAATTCTAACATTGCTTATCACAGTCTCAGAACACAGGGCTCACAGTAGACAAAACAATTTATTTTCATTAATGACCTATTAACTTCTGTTACTATTATTGGAAGTTATATTTCCCTCAAAGACTACTAAAATTGTTTAGACTTTTTAATTTAAATGTTTTCAATGATGTAATCTAGATACACTAGTATAAAAGCCAAGAGAGCCCTAGCCGGTTTGGCTCTGTGGATAAAACGTCCGCCTGTGGACTGAAGGGTCCTGGGTTCGATTCCAGTCAGGGGCACATGCCTGGGTTGCGGGCTCAATCCCCAGTAGGCGGTGTGCAGGAGGCAGCCAGTCAATGATTCTCTCTCATCACTGATGTTTCTATCTCTCTCTCCCTCTCCCTTCCTCTCCGAAATCAATAAAAATATATTTTAAAAAGTAAAAAATAAAAATAAAAGCCAAGCAAAGGGAATGATGGAACGACCGGAATGACTGGTCACTATGAGATGTGCATTGTGCCGGCCAACCAGCCCAATTGAGGCCCCAATAAACATTGCTCCAACCTTCTGAATCCCCTCCCCCCCTGGCTGGCCCGGCCCCTGATCGCCACCCCCACGCCCCCGGCCCCATCAGGGGTGGGGCCGGCCAGCCAATCTCCTGCATCTCCCCCTCCACCCCCAGCCTGGCCCCAATCAGCTCCTATTGAGGTGGGCTAGCCGGATCCCACCTGTGCACAAATTCGTGCACTGGGCCTCTAGTAGGATATAAATATATATATATATTTAACAGAGCATTTATTTTTTCTGGTTGTCTATAATGTTTAATCTGAAGTATATAGATTCTCATCATTGATCTGCTATACATTACTCTCCCTTTAATATAAGAATATGTATTTAATATATAATTTACAACAAAGCAAAGGTGGAATCTAATTTTAATTTTTAGGTTTGATAGTATGAAGTTAAAATACATATTGCATTACATGAAATTTTTCCCAGCCAAAATATTCACAATAAGTCAAAATAATATTAATTTGAATAGAATCCCACCAGAATGGTGCTTACAAACCTGTCAATAATTGATCTCTATAAATGTGTTTTATGATCAGCTTTCAAAATGTAATTTTTTATAGACTAAATGATAGAATATTTTTTTCAGGTGGTAGCAGATGATCATATCAGGAAGGGCTTTGATAAATGAGCAGAATCAGCTACTTAATCTTTAGCTACTAAGTTTAAACTGAACTATGACTCTTTTTATCACTAATCTCTTCATCTACTTGGGGTATTAATGTATTTTCCTTATTTACTAGTAATGAATCATCTCACAGTAAATAAAAAATCTGTTTATAAATATTCATTTAAAGAGATATTCTGAAAGAAATGAGCAAGTATCAAAGGGAAATAGAAACGAGCAATGAGGCTCTAGCTGGTTTTGCCCAGTGGATAGAGCACTGGCCTGCAGACTGAAGTTGTCACGGGTTCGATTCCAGTCAAGGTCAAGAGCACATACCTCGGTTGCAGACTCCATGCCTGCCCTGGTCCCTGCCCTGGTCGGAGTGCGTGGGGGAGGCAATCAATCGATGTGTCTTTCTCTTTCTGTCTCTCCCCCTCTCTTCCACTCTCTCTAGAAAAAAAAACAAAGAAGAAAAAGAAATGAGCAATGAGAATTACGTAAGTACAGAATCCTTGGCATTTAAGCATTTAAAAAAAGTGAATATTATCTATATCTCTACAATTTTATGAAAATTCATGTTTCATTTTAAATGTCCTTTTATCTAGTAACAATTGCTTTGACTGAAGCCAAAGCCAAAGTGCTAATCCATGTACTTCTGGCCTTTCAAATTTAATTGGGTGACAAATGATTATATTATCTAATTCTAATTGCTCAAAAGGCATGTGATAGATCAGTGGCACAATCAGAGACATTTTCTTACTCTGACATTGTTTCATTTGGTTCAATCATCACTTTTTCTGAAAGAGAAGAAAAAAACACCCTCAGTATTTTATCAATAGTGATGTTCCTAACAGAAATTCCTGACTGGCAAATATTTAGGCATTTTTTGAATGACAGGCAATATAATAAAGGATTAATTGCTAAGTCTTTCAATCAGACTCAACCATTCCAGTAAATTATCTTCTTAATTTTTAAGACAAAATGTTATTTAAACATATTCTTTTTTAAGTAATAAATCACTTACCCTTTGGAGCAACCACCAGCAACTTGCCATTCTGTCTATATTTTGGAGCCTAAAATAGAAGCAGAAATAAAAACTAGCATTATCATTATTATTTTCATTTGCTGTATTTGAAGTGATTTATTCATAGTCTTATATAAACATTTCTGTTATTTAGGCTAAAAGGTAACTTTATCCTAAAGCAATTATTAAAAAACTATATGTTGATGGTAAAATAGAACTACTAGTGAAGTGTCCTTAAAAAGCTTGTGTACTCTTCTTACCTTTACAGCATCTGTCTTATCTAGATAATTCCTGCAAAAACCAAAATATTTATTTCATAAGTGAACAATTGTATAAATTTAGACTCAAAATAAAATAGAATGCAGAACTCAGTTTTTCAGTAGAGTATTAAATATGTATATTGTTTTTTGTATTTGGTATAGATTATTTCCATCCTAACTGGAAAACCTCATTTTCTGGATGATGAAACTAAATTAAAAAAAAAAGTATACAGAAATTAACCCTTTGTCCCCTTTTACCTTGGAGTCTATGCAAAAAGAGTTATAGCAATAATTTTGCATGTTAGAAAAGTGATGGATTAAATAAGCCACTAACTCTGTTACTATTTGATTTTATAAAGCCTGGTCTCTAGCCCTAGCTGGTTTGGCTCAGTGGGTAGAGTGTTGGCCTGCGGACTGAAGGGTTCCAGGTTCAATTCTGGTCAAGGGCACATACTTCAACGGCACATACCTCAGTTGCAGGTTCCTCCCTGGCCCAGGCCTTGGTCAGAGCTTGTGCAGGAGGCAACCAATCAATGTGTTTCTCTCACATCGATATTTCTCTCTGTCTGTCCTTCTCTCTTCCACTCTCTCTAAAACTCAATGGGAAAACTATCCTTGGGTGATGATTAAAAATAACACACACACGGTCTCTAGATCTAGATACAAATACAATCAATAGCAGATTAAGGATTCATCTTTCCTACTGAGCTGACCCTACAAATTATTAAATTCATCTTGGCTCATATTTACACCAGCTTTTGTCTCCTCCACTTCAACAAAACGTGAGCCAAACTGCCTGCCAGATTTTAGTTCACCCATATTATGAAAAACACCTTTATAGAGTGCATATAAGCCAGAAGAAGATATTGCATTTCTAATAAAATATTATTTCAATAAAAACATTTAGAAATTAACCTTTGATTTTTCTCTAGGCAAGTAATTCTTACCTTATAAATTCCCTTGTGTTTATTAACACTTATAAGTTAAAATGTTTTTTCTGTGAAGTTTTACCTTTCCTAAGTTACCCTCTGTAGACTGATTTTCCTACAAGTTAGCCCTTTATGTACTTGCATAAATTTCATTCTAATTGCAGGGAGAAAAATCAGCTCATACGGTTTTTTTATGTTTGAGAGAGGACACACCTAAACTTTTCATAGGAAACAATTCACTTGTCCCCAAATCCTAAGCCAGACTTCTCAAATTATTATTAGTAGTACATACCTAGGGATTTCTGGAATACAAAGTGTAGGGCCAGATCTGTGGACAATAAAAGAAAAGCTTCATTATTTTGCATTAAGTTTTTCTCTTTTTAAATCCAGCTCCCTCACACTGATCTGTACTCCTGAATACATCAGTAGTATGTAAACTTTTGCCTCGAGCTTTGTTTTCCGGGCAACCCTAACCAAGCCAGAAATTGTTATTAATTTGACTAATGGCCCGGTGCACGAAATTTGTGCATGGTGTGTGTGTGTGTGTGGGTGGGGCCGTCAGCCCGGCCTGCACCCTTTCCAATCTGGGACCTCTTGGACATCCCTCTCGCAATCCAGGACTGCTGGCTCCTAACCACTCACCTGCCTGCTGGCTTGCTCGCCCCCAAACTGCCCCCCCACGCCAGCCTTCTTGCCTCCAACTGCCCCCCCTTGCCAGCCTGATTGCCCCCAACTGCCCCCCCCCCGCCGGCCTGCTCACGCCCAACTGCCCCCCCACACCCGCTGGCCTGATCACCCCCAACTGCCCTCCCCTCCTGGCCTGATTGCCCCTAACCTCCTCTGCCTCAGCCCCGCCACCATGGCTTGTCCAGAAGGGCGTCTGGAAGGTGTCCCAGTCTAATTAGCATATTACCCTTTTATTAGTATAGATTATCCCTCTGAGAAGCTCACAGAGAGCTAAAGTACACCAGAAAAGCAAGGCATCTTTTGGGGGAAAACAGTCGTAGAAGACTAAACTCTAGAATAAATGAAAGATTTTCCTCCTAATTCTCTAGGGTAGTAGACAGAGCTCAGAACTTGAAACAATACAATGAACCAAATAAGGCCTTAACAAAAGAAATCTGGGACGGCTTCTCCTGAGAAATACTTCTATTCCACAGATTTCCACAATCCTGTGTTGCCATAGTCTGCCTGGGTAGGATTATGTTTAGAGTCCTCCTCTCCTTTCTAGCTCCAGGATCTTTATGGATTGCTACCGTCCAACCTTTTACCTGGATGGAGACATCAGTGCATATAATTCTTCTCCCATTTTCACCTGGTAACAGAAAAACATAGGTAGGGTGGGCAGATCCTATTTCTTGACGGAAATGCAGGCTCTCCTAGGTCTGACTTTATCATTGCCTAGGAAGTGTCCCTTTAATCTCCTTTCATAAAATTTAATTCCTAGGGTTCAGAATAATACTCAAGAGTTGGGCTCTTGAGTGACAGAGACTGAATTCACATCCCAGTTCTGCCATGTGTCATGTAAGCTTGAGTAAGTACTTCACTTCTCCAGGTCTCCATTCTTCCATCTGTAAAATGGGGATCACAATGGTGCCAACTTCACTGGATCATTATAAGGATTATATAGGATGATCTGGGTAAAGTTGCAGGAAGCCACCCATTGTCTTCACTATCAGAGAGGTGCAAACAAGGATCCCGGGACGCTGGTGAACCTTGAACCCATGGCAAGGGACAGAGTTATACACCGATTATCTAGTCCAGACAAATGGGGGCTCAAGTTATTTCCTGATCAAACAGTCTCAGAGTAAATCCTTCTAATATTTACTGGCGTTTAAGATGGTCTGTCTGCTACCGCAATTGCCTGCCTGACTAAGGTCTTTATGTGTATCCAAAATTGAATAAAAGGCTGGCGAGGCCTGGGCACCGGTGGAAGTCTTTCCCCTTGAGTTGGGCTTGCCCGCCTGGCCCCCCAATATTTCCAAATGATCTCTTGTCTCGTCTCTTTCATTTGTGTGCGGCCCCTCCTCCAGATCCTGAACCCTGAACCACGTGGGACGTGGGGGGGAACATACACAGAAAGTGTGTATCACAGTGCAGGGCACATTGGAGGGACACTGAAGAAACTACTCAATGTTTTATCTAAAGGGAAAACTGGGAAGATGTTCTATGGGGCTGGTTAAGATTGCTTAGGGAAACAAAAGGGAGGCTTTGCTGTCATTGAGACAAGCTGATTAACTCTGAAGACTTTTAATTAATTTAAAAATCACACTAGCCCCAAAGTAATGATACTTGTTTAGAAAGTTCATTGACTCCAGGAAAAAAGCAGAGTAAAAACACAGGTAAAGGTAAAGCAGCCGTGACAGGCTGAGCAGAATGAGGTGCAGCCACTGTACAGGTAATATATATTTTTCAAATAACTATCAATATGCAAAATATCTCTGAAAGGAAATGCTTTCAGAAAAGAAATGATAATATTGGCTGACTCTGGGGATGGCTGCAGGACTGGGGTAGGAATTCTTTACTTTAGGTGCATTAGTACCTCTTGAACTTGGAAAAAAATAAATGTATTATCTATTTTAAAAAATACAATTTAAAATTTGCAATACCATTTGCATGTCTATGTTTATCCCTCTCTTACAGGCATGTGAACCAGGTGCTACTTCAATTCTCTTCTCTACCCAGTGGTACCTGTTCAAACAGGGGTCATGGTATCTAGAAAGAACGGTATACAGGTGCACACTTGTATATTCATCACTATTGGTTACGGTTAATGTTAACATCACAACATTCATTTAATAAGCCATTTGAGTTTCTACCAAGTGCACCTTCTGGCTTTTGGAATGTGGGAAAACTCTCATGTCTTTCAACAGTCCCAGTGGTAATGGGAACAACAGTGATGACAGGTACCAACTTTCATGTTACAGTCAATGTCTATTTGAGACAAACCTTTGATGAGCAGCTACTATATGTCATATATACCTGTGATAAGCCCTGGGGATACAAAAGAAGCTCATAATATTATAGGGGACAGACCTATATATATGGGACAGACCAAACTTCAAAGTAGTGTACTAAATCCTTCCCTCTAAGAAGCTCTGATGTACTTTTCCACACTGCCTGAACAGGATCAATTAAATCCCTTATTTTAAGCTCATGGGCTGGGGATATCCAAGGGGGTCAGCAAGCAGTGGAGGCAGAATTGGAAAGATAAAGGAAGAGAAAGTCTAATAAACAGAGCAGTCCCGGAACAACTTTCCAGTAACAGAATCAAGCTTGAGGCCTGTTCTCTGGATTTGCTATATTCTTTCAGGTATAATTTCTTTAAGTATCCCTAGAATACAGTATTGTCTACTGATAGCCTCTTCCTCCTTATGTGGTTAAAAGATCCAGCCCACCTGAATATAAGAGTAGGTACTGTCCTAAGACACAGCAATCATAGTAATTCATAAGCTAACAGTAACAGGACCAAGGGGTGAGCCTATGATCCAAGCTAAGCTCATCACAACTTTTCTCTGAGATAGAGGTAGAAGAATATGAATCTAGAGCTCCCAGTAGGCATGGTTCTAGCCTTTAGGAAAAAAAGTGGCCTGAGAGTGAAGCAGAAGGTCCAAAAGATAATCAGGGATAAGAAGAGTAAAGAGAGAGAGAGAGGAGAGAGGAGAGAGAGAGAAGAGAGAAGAGAGAGAATGAATGATGTTTGAGTCCCTGCTTCCAGTTCAACCTGTCTTTACCACAGGCCAATTAATTTCTCTCTTTGCCGAAATAAGCTGGAGCTGATTTTTAACATCTGAAGCCAAAAGAGACCTTGACAAATATGGCTCCTACTTCTTGAAACAAAAGTAGGCTGACACACCTGATACCATGTGATAAGAGCTACATATTAGAATTTAGGTGACCTGAGGGAGCACAGAGGGAGAAGTGATGAATTCTACCTGTTATGGGAAGACAGACTGAGTCAGGTTTCACTAATAAAGCTGGTATTTATTTAACCAAGTCAAGACCAAGTAGTCAACAAAAGGGGAAGAGAAATCCAGCACTGTGTTAAAGAATATCAATAGATGAAATAAAAAATGTACATGAAGCACATTTTAAAAGTCATTAATTGCCATGTGCTAAGAATTTTGGGCTTTAATCGGTAGGTAACGGAAAGCAAATCAAGTCAAGCCTTTGAAATTCTGTTGAGGGTAAACCCGAGACAGAATGGAAGTGCTCATTTCTAAAGAAAGGGCTTAGTTTTTGTCTTCTTAGCTATATTTGTCTAAGTTGCAGAAACCCTGCTCTAGTTAGTTTAGGAGACAGCGGGAGAGGAAGGAGAAAGGGGGAAGAGGGGAGATGGGGAGAAAAAGGCATTGGCCCCTAGAATCCAAGAGTTGAATACCCAAGCTATGTGGAAGTCAGGACACAATGGATACAACTGTGTTCAAGGGGTGTAGGTTGGCACTTTCCCTTGTTCATTTCAGCTTCTCCCTGCATGTGGGTAGGACTCTCTCTCTCTCTCCAGATTTTCTGCACATGGTACAGGGCTCCCAGAAATTCTCGAGTTATATGTGATAGTTCCAGATGTTAAGGAAAAGTTGACTGTCAACAATAAACAACCCCAGTCAAGGTCCCAATTAGTTTAGATAGGTTTTTGTATGTTTGTTTGTTGCTATACAGAACAGATTATCTCAGGCGACCTTTAAAAAAAAAACCTCTAGTGTCTAGTGCACTACATGTCATGTAACCTGGTGCTCAATAACTATTTGTTGAATGAATGGAATGGGAAGAAAGGAAACAAGAAAGCAAAAGAAAAGAATGTATTAAACTAGCTTCACTGTCCAATATGGTAGCCACTAGTGGCTACCGAGCACTTGAAATGTGTTCATTTCACATTTCAGATATGCACACTGGACAATAAAGACTTAGTAGCAAAAAGAGAATGTAAAACATCTCCACCTCCTCTAAGTAAGTGTTCATAGCAGCTATTAAGGCCAAATAGGTTTTATTTGGATTCTACAGGTTAAACAAAAAAAAACTTTTATGAAATGAGTCACCAACATTAAAAATTCAGATTTCACAAAATCCGTATTTTAGGTTTTTCTTGTAATATTGGAAGACATCTTTTCTTCATCCCACTTGTGCAATTATTTTACCCTTTTGTGCTATTTGTTTTTATAAGCTATCTTGTACTCTACTAGGCAAGGAATGAATTACTAAATAGCTACATGTCCAGGATTTGCCAATGTGGTGAGAAGGAGATGCAGAGCTGATTAAGCACCATCCTCCGTCCCAGAAGAACTTAATGAGGAAACATAAAAGGACATTATTTCATTGTAGAGCTCAACTGTATATAAAATGGCGTCAATGATCATCTGTTGCTCACATTCATATTTAAAAGTGACTACATATAAATTTTCTATTTTTCGTTTACAACATAATCCAGTGCCCAGCCTCTGGAGTCAGACTGCCTATGTTCAAATCCCAGCAAATTGTGTGACCTTGAGCAAAGTTCCTTAACCTCTCTATGATTCACTTTCCCTCAACTGTAAAATGAGTATAAAAATACTACCTACCTCATAGAATTATGAGGGTTAATATAAATAATAATAAGTATTAGTGGCACCTGTAATTATAATTAATTACAACTCCTCCTCCAGTTACTATTATTATTATTACCCACAGCCTGTCAGGGACAGTCCTGAAGGTGAACTCTGACTTAGGGAAGACAGATCTAAGAGCACAACGGAGACTGGATGGGGCAAAGGAGGGGGAAAAGCACTGATAACCCAGCTCCAAGGTGGTAAGCAGGAAGCTCTGAATTCTGGAGTGCAGCAGCGGAATTGCTACAAAGGTGTTGCAATTCAACTCTGGTAAACTCTTAACACTTAAAGAGCAGTGTTGTTTCCCTGAGATTAAAAAACACAAAACTTCAATTAGCAAAAAATAAAAATAGCAAGGTGGATTTGGGGAACATTGTATTTGGTTTTCAGGAGAATGAAACAAATATATAAATAAAAAACATTTTCAGTGTCTTTTTCAGACTTATTAAAAAAACCACAATAACTCCTGGGGTAAGAACAGACTCATCCACGTGTTAATTTAAATGCCGCCGGACGCAGGGTAGAACAGTTTAAGGCAGCAGTCAGAAAGACTTCACTAAGACCAGAAATCTCAGGTCGATGTCATGTCAAGGCTGAAGACGGAACCTTACAAGTGATCCCTTGTCCAAGCCCCTCATTTAACGAAAGATGAAAAGAAAGCCCGCGGGCGTTAAATAATTCGTCCAAATTCCACCGAAACTTTTTGGCTGCGCAAGTTATGTCTAGAGAGTAATGACGTCTTAACTGTAGCAGTGAGTGCTTGCTCCTATTGGCCATTAAGCAGTTTCCAAAAACAAATAAATAAATAAATATCTAAATAAATAAGGATAAAATTTTAGTAGAGGACCAAAGGAAGTAGCGGAAGCCTTGAGATGAAACGGAGCACTTGTCACGGGGGCGGGAGGGGAGGAGGGGGCTGGCAGGCGGGAGTCCGCCGGCCGGAGCTGGCGGCGTGTGTGCCCGCGGGGCAGCGCCGCCATCGCTCACTCTCCGGACACTAACGTCCTGCCTCCCACTGCGGCCAGAGAGGCGCCTCCAGCCGTGCGAGCGGGTCCTACCTTCTCGCGTGCCGCCTGGCAGCCGTGGGGCCGCACAGCCCAAACCTGGAGGGTGTACAAAAGTTGGCGGAGCCAGGCGCCGGGCCCGGGTGGTCCGAGGTGAGAGGGGAGTCCGGCTGCACGCGGGGGCCGGTAGAGGGAGACCCGCAGTTGCCGCGGCGCCTCTTACCCGCTTGGGGCCCTCGCAAGCGGATCATCTGAAAGGCAGTCGCCGAAGGCCGGCCCAGCTAGAGGTTCGCTCGGGTTTCGGAGCAGCGAGCTGTGGACGCCTCGTCGCCATGGAGACGATACCACTTGCGGCTGGAGTCCCGGGAGCCGCCGGGGAAGGCGGCGGAAGGGGCGGGGACTGCTCGGGGCGAGCTCGGGAGCAGAGAAGGGGCGTGGAGGGGGCGGGCCGCGCCTGGGGAGCCGCAGTTGGCGCGAGACGAAGCGGGTTGAGGGGGCGGGGCGGGCCTGGGTCCAGGCTGAGTGGGCGGGGAGGGCCCGGGTCCCGGTCTGGGCTGAGGGGGCGGGGCGGGCCTGGGGGCCGGGCTGCGGGGGCGGGGCGGGCCTGGGGCGGGGCCGGGCTGCGGGGGCGGGGCTGAGGGGGCGGGCCTGGGCGGAGGAGGCTGGGCGGGGGCCCAACTTAGGGGGCGGGGCGTGCCTGGGGGCCCGGTTGAGGGGGCGGGGCGTGCCTGGGGCCGGGCTGAGGGGGCGGGGCCGGGCGAGCCTGGGCGGGGGCTGCGGGGCGGGGCGAAGGTGGGGTGGAGGCGGAGCACGCTCTGCGAGTCACGGCAGGTGCGGGGCGCGAAACCCTGACTTGAGAGCCCCTTGGATCTAGGGGTCCCGCCGCTCAGTAGAGCAGGTGCATACACCCTGGGACGCACGTCCGTACGCTCCCCGGTTACTGGGAGAAGGGCCGAAGGAAGGGAGGTTGAAATATCACTGTCCATACCTGATCCTATTCTTGGTGGGAAGAGGGAAAAGGGCGTGGTGGCCTCGGTAGAGTTTTAAACTTGCGGAGTAAAAGGAGGCTCAGTCTTGCACTGGGAGAGAGGGTTCTCCCTGAATGTGAATGAACAAATGTCCCCTGCAGGACTTGGTCCCTCAACCTGAGGTCGCCCCAAGAAGGTTATGGGTTTCCTGGGGGGTCTCTGGGCGCCAGTTTCCCCACAAATCAGGTTCGAGTGAATAGAACCCGGGACCCTCCTCAGACACCAACCCCTGCCAAGTCCCAAGTGAAATCGGCCAATGGGAGGTTTTACTGATTAGATGACTGTTTTGGTCACAGAAGGGGGCGGGGAAGAATATCATTAAACAATTCTAATTGTTCTTCAAGCTTGGCCTCTAGGAAGGAATTGGTTGGTTTTCTCCACATAAGATGCGTAGAAGTCACTAGGATCGATTTGTTGCCAGGCAACGTGTTTTGAAGGAAGCCTGTTTGTTGGAATCAAATCTTGATTTAAATTTCACTGAGTAGCCCTGATATGAGGTTTAATTGCTACTTAACCTTTGGACTAGGTGCCCTCTGGGAATATGTATCTTGGTAGATGGTTGTGAGCTTCAAATGACACAAAATATATAAAGCTCTGGCATGTAAAAGATGCTTCATATGTGGCAATTTTAAATTAATTTATTATTACTATTATTAAAAATAGAGCCAGCTGGACCATTTCAGGAAACAAAAGTATGCAGAGTGTCCGTTATTTAAAAATTTTTAAAATCATTTCTCCACATTCACTCTAAATTTCCTTGGAACCCTGGATGGAAGGAAGGAGGCAAAGGGATAAAGCCAGAATAGAAGTTTTTTTTTAAAGAATTCAATGAAGTCATTGACAAAAACATCCCTTGTTTGATAAGGACATAGCACGCCACTACCTCTATTATAGGAACACCCTTACGTAGCCAATGTCTGAAGTTTGCAGACTTTTTGTTCAAATAGGCAAAGGGAAAATCATTATATTTCTTGACGAATATCTTTGAAAAAGTCAGTTTTGATGAATTTGCTTTGTATTGATAATGGGTGATGTCTGACTGGCTATTCCCATTGTTATACCCCAAGGAAAGTAAGAAAACCTCTACTCTAGCTGATTAAGTTGCCTCCTCCTACACCCGCCCCCCCCTTCCTTCCAACAGATGATCACGTTCATTTGTAGAATACAGTGTTTTCAGTGTTTATTTATTGTTCCTGAAAGAAGGGGCAACAATGGTTTAATGACATTGGAGCATAAAAGTATTTTCTCCACATGGAGGATGGTTATTTCTAGCTTCCACCTTGGGCTTCAGGGTCTTCAAGTGCAAAGTGGTGATAATATACACTACCTGCCCCAATAGCTCAAAACATGAAATGATGAGAGAAAATAAGCCCCTGACACAGAGTATGGCACATGACAATTGATCAATAACTTAGCTATTATTACTACTTCTACTATAATGTCATGTGTATGAATAAAGGGAAGCTGCCTGGCCCAGTGCCTATACATAGTGGTTATTTTATTTCTCACTGATGAAAAAACACATTTTATCTTTGTATAACTTCAGAAATGATTTACCTATCTCTATAACTTGTATACAGAAGTTATTGGTGTAATACTCAAAAGTAGACCACAATTTAGCTCTGGCTCATGATTCAGACCACTGAATAAATTACCAAAAGTAAGTATCTAGTGAGCATTTGTTTTAACAAAATAATAGGGAAAAGCCAGACACTCTTATACAAATATTGAATCACCCTACAGCAAATACCTTCTATTAAACCCCATGGGTTTTTTTATATATACATATTTTTATTGATTTCAGAGAGAAAGGGAGAGGGAGAGACAGAAACATCAATGAGAGACTCATTGATCGGCTGCTCCTCCCCCCCCCCCCCCCCACAACTGGGGATCCAGCCTGCAACCTAGGCATGTTCCCTTGACTGGAATTGAACCTGTGACCCTTCATTCCACAGGCCAAAGCTCTATCCACTGAGCCAAAACAGCTAGGGCTCCATGGGTTTTAATAGATAAATTTTTATTACAGATATGAATGTTAGCAGAACATTATAAAAATGTTTAAATAGCATTTAGTGCTCTGATTATAAAAACAATACATACTCATGATAGGCAATTTGCAACACACAGAAAAAAAAAACCACTTCAATCAATAATTTAACCATTTTTGTGTCCATATATATTTATAAGATTTGTATTAGTGTACACATTGTAGTCAGCCCTTTTTGCTTAACATTTTATCTAATGCCTTAACATTTCCCTAATGTCTTTTAAAAAGTCTTGAAAACATTTTAATGGTCATATATAATATGTATAAACCACAATTTACCCATAATTATTCAACTAGTCACCCATTTGGAAATTTCCAACTTTTTTCCTGTAATTCATTCTTCCAAGAATATTTATTGAGATTTTTCTGGATGCTAGGTGCTATACTAGGCATAAGACTTAAGTGGTGAACAATAACTGTAAATATAAGGTTTTGATGAACACCCTTGTAAATAAATTTTTGATAGCATCTTTCATTCTTAGACTGAATTCCTAGAACTATGGAAACAACTTCAAAAAGCATTTTTTTTTTTCTGGTTCAAAGGCAAACTTAAATAAAATCCTGAACTGTAAAATATTAACTGTTTGGAAAATTGCCAACAGACTTAATATTTATTTTGTGCAAAGTGTGAACTTACCCAGAAGATGCTTTCTCGTTAGTGACTGTGAAACATCAAGGGTGGTTGAAGTGTATTGACTTTGGCTTTTATCTCTAATTCTTTCCAGGATTTGCAGGTTTTCTCAATAGTGTGAGATTGTTTGAAGTCTATGCAAATTGCCCTACTTCCTCCTCTCAGTTAAAATGTTAACTATTTTATTTCTAGCTTTCCCCTTTGTAAACATATGGCTTTTCTACATTTCTTTCATTTACCTTCCTGTGTGAAACATTTTGTATTTTCACACTTTTTAACTTTTAAACCCAAGTTATAACACACGCACACATTCCTATGGTACTGACATACCCTGTAGTTAATTTTGGTCAAGAAACAACATGTAAATTAACAAATGTATTTAGGGGATTTCATAATAAAGATTATTTATTAAAAGTAATAACCACCTCAATACACACACCACCACCACCACCACCACCACCACCACCACCACCACCACCACCAATGTTTGACAATAAAATGTTTAAATACAAGCTGAGCCATATGAAATTGTCATTTGTGGATTAAATATAGTCAAATAACTTCATGTGGTTCTATCTATATCATTAACTAGTTTGTGATCTTTCTCAACTTTCTCCAAATATTGAACTTCCTGATTACTATACTAACGATTTCCTTTATTACTACACAAGATTGTGTTGCTTTGACTTTCATAAATTCTGGAATCTAGTCAGGAGAGTGCCATAAAATGTTTATTTATTATTGCAGAGACAGTAGAGGGAGCCTGGAGCCAAAACATCGTTATTTTAGGCTTCGCATAAATGATGATTGTCTCCCAAGTCTTGAGGTGTGGATGAATTTAAATACTAGCATATATGTGATATAGTAATCTTTTTTTCCCCAGAAAAGGTTGATTGTACCTAAATAGTCACTTTAATAGGAAGGGGAAGGTTGGCTGCCAGTTCATGCTAGACCCCATCAGGGTTCATGCTGGGACCAGCCTGACTCCCATTGTCCTCTGGGTAATGCTGGAGACAGCACACTGCCACAATGACATATTTGTGCTCCAGAATTTCCCCCTTTTCAACCTATAATGTAGACCAGGGGTCCTCAAACTACGGCCCGCGGGCCACATGCAAATACAAATATTGTATTTGTTTCCATTTTGTTTTTTTACTTCAAAATAAGATATGTGCAGTGTGCATAGGAATTTGTTCATAGTTTTTTTTTTAAACTATAGTCTGGCCCTCCAACGGTCTGAGGGACAGTGAACTGGCCCCCTGTTTAAAAAGTTTGAGGACCCCTGATGTAGACCATCCATTTCCATGGGCTTTACATCGTGATTGTTTATTTCATCAGAACTTCAAAAATCTTACTAAAGCAACTATAGTTTAGTTGACTGCTTCCTGCAGACACATAAGGAGACACTTTGATCCCGTCTTGAAGGCACATCCTAGGAAGGTAATAAATTGCCAATCCTTTCACTGAGCAGCAATTTTTGTTTTCCTTAATTAAAGATGATGTATCTTGATGACCTCTCCTCAACCATCTTCATCCTCAGCATCCCGAGTTTTTGTTACTGTCTCCGGTCCTGGTGGTATAAAGGGGTCCGCAAGGTAATTTGTGGTCACCATTGTTCTTCACCGTTTAGGGAGGGTAACATGAATCCTTGAATCTAGAGATAA